ATTGTCCAAGAGCTTCTGTAACTTCGTCGAACTTGGAGCCAATTTTAACCTTTACAGTGACTTTTCTGTCAAGCCAGTCCAATCGGAATTTATTCTTGACATTTGAGTCAATTTCTAGGATTAAAGACTCCTGATCTTTCGTCAAAAATGTCATAATTCCGCTCAAAACGATCCCAGAACAATGAATTTGCGAGACGAACAGGCCGCCATGAATCAGGTAAAACAATATGTAACATGCAATTTGATTGGTCCAATCGCTTGTAGTTAACCAATCGCTGTGCCGTTTATAATCGAGCTAAGACTTCCGCAACAAATAATGCCTTCAGTGATCTGATTAGTTGAAGCTTTCATACACGTCCAATCGCAGGGCTGTTTACAAACGGAAAACGGAGAGACTGTTCGGGAGAGCTCGTGAAAACTCGACGAGAAGGTACCTGACCAGCCCTAAAATTTTCTCAACGGATTTAGACGATTCACAAAAATGATCAATTTAAGAAATAAAACGGCGGATTTCCGCGGATCCGCGGAAAATTGCCATGTATGCAAACAGTCAGCAAAATGGATGGGAGGCCAGTGAAATATATTGTAATCATAATACTGGACTCCAATGAGAAGAATAAATGAGAATGTCACATCAGCCAAAATGTCTATTATTAAAGTGATATCTTGAAAAACCATTCTAATGCATTCAATGTCGGAAGCTTTATTCCATTTTATGATTACATGTAATGATAAAAATAGATCAGCAAGTAAAAAAAGACTTATAATGGTCGAGCAATGCACTTTGCACATATCTTGAAAAAAGCAACGGAAGCTGTACCAAAGGTGTGCTGGTGAATTCTGCTACACCTGAACAAAAAAAAAAAGTTATAATATTCCTTCTATAATGATGATAATAAAGCTGATAATATCTCTAGATACTCCAGAGGTTGCACAATTTTGAATTGGATGATGGATGGTTCATGTTTCATTATTTCCTGAGTGTGTGTGTGCGTGCGCGTGCGCGTGTGTTTCAGAATGGATTATGTTCGTTGCACTGGAGGTAAAATGAAACCAAACAATAGTGCGTAACAGGAGAAATGTGCTTGCAGGGTGCAGCAGGTTAATTTTACTTTAAAAAGCCATGCAAATAACGCACTGTACACACGCGTACACTAAAATGTGCACCTGAACTCAGCCTACACACTGCCTTGGCACAATCACCCGTATGGGAAGGAGTCTTTATGGAGCGCCAGTATAGAAAGGGGCACTCAGAATCCACACAAACACGCGCGCGAGCTATACACTACATTTGCTCCTAATCGGGAGTGCGCAGTTGCAGAAAGGAGCACACGGTTGCCAAGGCAGCCAACCAATCTCCCCTCCCTTCCCCCTCCTCTCTCTTTTTTTTTTTCTCTTTTCCTCTTTCCCTTGTATTATCGGCAGAGGTCGCATGGCAGAGGGAAGTCGGACCACTTCTGCGCACTGGAACCAGTGCGAGAATATGTGCACGTCCATAACAAAGCCAGTGTGAGAGCGCACAGAGGAGGCTGACGTTTGACGGTGGAGTTTTTAAAAAAAAAGAAAGAAAGAAAGAAAAAAGACAAAGAGAGAGAGAGAAAAAGTGTCAACTTGGGAGGTTTGTTTTGCTGTGGAATACCCGGATATACAGTAGTTGTGGCAGCACGTGTGCATCTGTGACATTTGTGCTTGGAGTGAGGGACTATTTGTCACGCTGAGGACCACTGCGCACCAGCCCGCCACTGAACAAGAGGGAAAAGTGCACCGAGAACAACTTAGATTCTGCCCCCCCACTCTTTTTTTTTTTTTTGTCTCTTTCTCTTCTCGTGTGTGCGTGTGTGTGCTTTATCGCCGAGACAACAGTGAGTTCGAGTCCAAGCTGGAAGTGATTTGATGCGTTCAGGCTCGCTCAACGTGAGATGGACGTGAGATTTTACCCTGCTCCCCCGGCCAATGTGGGTTCATGCTCCCTACCTGCTGATCCAAGTTGTTTGAGCTCGCTGGACTATTATCACCCCAACAAGGTAAAAAGACTTGCAAATAAGTCAATAACACGTCGCGTGCGTGCATGTGAGTGTGTGTACACGCGCCCGAGTCTTGCCAACCTGCGACTGTTTTCTTTCCTTTTTTGTAATGTACGCGCGTTTTACTTACTTTGTCTTCCTTCATAGTTTGTTCGACCCTCATAACGCTACAAAGACGGCTTTAAATTTTTATTCATGCCTGACATTAGGATTTCAAGTTTAGAATAACTTTTACTCTTGCTGTGACATTTCCACGGTGATGTTACGGTCAAATGTGCAATTTAGTCGTCCCCCGGTGTGAAGGAGCGGCGGGTGTCTTAAAATCCATCGTCGGTTCCTGCATTCTTTATAGCTTGAATGAATGTGTACGAGCAATAATGTACTCTTAATTGTTTGGTATCGCGATACGTACCGGACACCGTGACTGGCACGAAGCGCACACTTGGCATTTCACTGTCTACATTTATAAAAGCCACCGAGAAGAGGGACTCGCTGTCATGTTGGAACACGACCGGAGCAGCTAGCTCCGTGTGCGCATGTACCACAAGTTTAGCATAATGAAACAAAATAAGGCCAAGTACTTTAAGAGCATCCGTGGCCACTTTATTGGGTACACTTCTTCATGTAACCCATCGCTGCCTTTCGAAAGATGCTAGCTTAGAGCTCAGTTTCATTGGCAGTCACAAGACGCAAAACGTGAGCAACAATTCTCCACTCAATGCACACAACCCCCAACAACCTACAACCATATGACACAGTGACGATCTAAAACGGTTCCCCGTTTTTTAAATGAGTTTAGAGAATGATACATGACACTGTTCGGAACTCTATGGCAGACTGTGCGGGCAACGGAAAAGTGTAACTGAACGGAACATTGCAGTCATTGGTTGAAACAAGACTGAGGTGTTGGTGAAGATGGGTTCGTAGTCAATCACGTTTACACCTGTGACTCAACAATTACTTTTCCACTCTGTCTGCACTTTAGCAGGTTTCTCTTTTCTGTGAGTGAAAGGAATTTTGGAACATCCCGAGAATATGCTCAGTGCATCATCCTGGAGCCAAAGCCTCCGGATGTGTTGACACTATGCGGATAGAAAAAGCAGAGTAAGGCCTCAAGGGCAGGTGTCATGACACATGTAAACTACGATAGCAATCAATGTTTTTGTTTTGTCTTCTGAACACAATGAAGTTCACGGTTGTCGCTCATTAAAAGACGACTGTTATGCGTTACGTTGCAAAAGCCCGTAGATCAAAATATCACGGCTGACATCTTGATTCTACGCTTCTCTCGTCTACCGTGGAGCCAAAAATGAAACGTCGTAACTCTCCGCTTTGCATACGACCACAATTTCATGCTCTTTTTCTGATTTATTTGAGATACTCTTGATAGTCACTTTGTGCAAAAGGCAAGCATTGCTCGTCTTGCTGTCGAGTCTTTCTCTGTTGCACATGCTTATGCAAGCGCACGTGGCGAGCAAGCTTAATTGATATAACCCGAGCATGCGCTCGCATTTGAGCTTTACGCTGTGCTTATTTGCAAACCGCCAGTGCGCTTGGTGGATGCCGCGCGGAATGCGACCGCAAGTCTACTTTGAGTAATTAGCAAGTTTATGTGACAGCGAGCACGTGTGCTGCCGCCATGCTTTCAAATGCTGTCCCGCTGCTCATTTTGGCGCCGCAGCTGCTTCCATTCATAATCATTTGCGGGCATGCTGTGAGATTGCCGGTGCCACTTTTTACTCCCCTCCGCCCACCGCATTCGGTGGAAGCGTATCAGTTGCAGTGTTGATCAGTCAGAAAGTAACTACTAAAGAGTCCTGAGCTGTTTCTAGCTCCGATATGATTGATAAGTCGAACGATACAACAACGGAGCGTCTAAAGCCGATCAATCCGAGTTTGGCACACCCACCAAATTGTCCACGTTCACCTCCTGAGCAGACTTAATTGTTGTCACTCAGGTTCTTGCAATCGATTCTCGTGGTAGATACTGGTGACACCCCTCCATATATCTGGACTTGCACTAAAATGTAATGGCTTCCTATGCCCCACCCCTATGCAAAAAAAAAAAAAATTAAATAAATCTGTAAATCATTTAACTAATTTCATTTTTGTTCACCAAAGCATAACCCCCTCGGTAAGAAAAGTGACAGCACTGTATTTATGATGCTTTGCAGTTGGGTGGAACGAAAGAAAAAAAAAATAAAGCTGCAGAAAATGAACTGTGGGGGATACTTCAAGTGCAGGATGAGATGATTCAGAAAGATCCATAAATAACCCTGAAGATTTCTACTTCACTACTTTTCAGTGCCCACTTCATTTTCACTATGCGTTCACGTCTTTTATCTCCGTGGCGCTCTCGCAAGCGCCCGGGAGAATTTATACAGAATAATAGCTCCACAGCAGCTTTGAGCAGGGATAATATGAAACTGTGTCATTTGTTAATGCTGTCTGCTGCCTCACGGGCTGCATGCTTACATGTATTACTCATATGATGCACAAAAAGGCAGTTCTAGAAGGACTGAGATGCATTAAAAAAAAATTGGGGGGGGGTGTGGGGGGACAATTGTAACTGCGCAGAGGCTATTGGTTTGTCAGGCTCCCGTCGTTTGCTTTGCGAGAAGGGAACACCTTGCCTGCTCCTTTATTTGAATACCTTAATCAAACAGTGGTGACTGCTCCAGTGAGGCCACTGCCTACAGTGCAAGAGCACAGAGTGCAGCGAGAGTGAGGGCCCGGTGTTTATACACTCAGGCCCCACCCAGCTCATATATCCTCCCAACAACTGATATCTGCCTCGATAGGACATGACTGAAGAGCTGAAGCTTTGTTGCCTGGTGGTCCTCGCTGCCTCTGATAAGCTGGGGAATGATGCGCTCCATTTGAATGCCTTATCGCACTCCTGTATTTTCTTTTTTTTTTTTCTTTTTTTTTTTTTTTATTACAGTACCGCCTTGTATGCAATCGTGCGCGTGCGTGTCTTTGTTTGCGTGGTGCAAAGGTTACTTTCACTTTACATATTCAGACAGTTTCCATCCAGGCTCATCATGCATCAAGTGAACAGATTGAATCATTCTGTTCGGGTGTACGAGTCACCCTTCTGCCTATACTGCAGACAACTTATGACCCTCTATAACGAGAACGTCGTGATCAGTACAGACTTCCACCAAGGACAAATGGCAACGTTTTTTTTTTTTTTTACCTCCATCATCTATTCAACTGACAACAGACCACCTACTGGTTCATAAGTGTTGGCGAGCAGACACGAGGTTGGACTGTTCCATTTTTGGCAATTAGTAGTATATATATATATATATATATATATATATATATATATATATATATAGGTATAATGTTGAATTTTTGGAATTTTGAATACTTTTGAAAAATCCGCGCTGCACTGAAACCGCAATAAGTGAACCGTGAAGTAGTGAGGGATCACCTCATGACTTCAATTCCTGCTTCCCGGTTAAGACTCTCTGCAAAATCGAGTAGGTTCCTCATTTGCGCAGCCGGCAACTGATAATCGACAAAGTGCTGTGGGAATTTGGTTTTGTACATCGACTTTTGCCATGCATGGCATTCGTTGTTGGTTCTTGACAAATGTGAACGAGCAACAATGTGGCTAGTTTGGAAAAAAGTGGATCCTCTGCTGAGGCCAAACAAACAAATTGGCCAACTTCAACGATAATCATCGACATATACAGCCTAGTTCAGTCCCTCAGTGATGTCATTTGCATTCAACCAGCATTAACTTTGAAACTTGAGTGTTTCTCAGTAGATTCTACAACTCCTCCAAGACCTACAATTCATGTGGTTTTTACCACCACTTTACATCTCGCAAAATTCAGTGAAAAAAAACAAAGTAACTCAGAACCATCAATTAAAATATTACACAGCGGCAAAGTGGGAAAGGCCTTTTGATTGGATCTGCACCTGCAGCTTTTTATGGGTACTTCCTTGGCCTATGCCCTCCCCCTTCCGCAAAGTTGTGTGGGAATTGGTTGAACCCATTTTGATGTGATCCTGCTCGCTATCAGGCCTACCCGCCGGAGTTAAGACATCACCTCCTTGGCAGGGGTAACAAACGAACCGATTGCATCCGTCACTCAGGCGGGCTGCTGCATATTCATGTTGCGTGTACACCGCTGTCGCTTTTAGCTAATGACAAATTCTGTGGCATGTGACGGCGATGCGGGGAGTGAGAATCAAAGGATGAGTGAGAGTCAAATGGGTTGAAGTAATCAGTGGCCCGGTATGTGGACAGTGCCTGCGTGCGTGTATTTGCATCTGTGTGTGTGTGTGTGTGTGTGTGTGTGTGTGTGTGTGTGTGTGTGTGTGTGTGTGTGTGTGTCATGCTAAGTCAGGGCCATTCATGCGTTTTGCTGACTCCGGAATCACAATCACAATTGCTTTCATAGCCCTGTGTAGAGGAAGGCTGTGCATACCACTGTGGAAAAGCCGGTGACACACAGTGAGTCGAGGGTTCAAGCACAAACTGACACGACATCATAGTCCTCACACTTTAATACGCAGAGGTTTTTTTTTTTTTTGTATCGGGGACGCTGACCAAATGAAATATTTATTGATTTCAATAAAACCCGAATTGGCTCTGACATAGTCACACAGTCTGAGCTTCCCTTTTCGCTTCATGTTTTCACCTTGCTCACTTTATTTTACTACTGCTGACCTTGTTATGTCACTTAGGCAATGATTTATACCCATTATGGGGGGGGGGTTTGCCGTGGGAGATGACCCAATTTCACTTAATTTGCCCAAATATTATTTTTTTCCTTAATTACAAATATGTATTTGTTCATCTCGGTATGCCAGTGACGTGTAGTGAAAGGCAGAACAGTTCAATGCTCTTCCATTAGCTGGCAGCATGTCTAATGAACTTGTGTTTCCACCTGTTGCCATCAATACGACAAAATAAGTCACGGCTTTCTGCAAGCATTTCGGTTTTGTGTTCAATTAAACAGGCTTCGATTTCACACTGAGTC